TTGAGAAAATCGGATTATTCGGAAGATCAGATAGGAATTTGAAAATTTCAGATTTCGATATTGCTGAAGTTCCAGAAGATTCAAATTTTGTAAAGTTTTATCAATCCCACTTGAGGAAATCCCTGATTTGAGAATCCTAAGTTTCCTAAGAATCCTAAGAATCCATTTCAAAAATTCAAAGAGTCTTCTCGAAAATTGGCTCCAGCCAATTTTCGAAAACCAATCATAATAAGGGTACTAAGCCAATATGAAAAAGTTTTTGGAGAGGGAAAAGTACCGGAAATGGCTCGATGAGCTCCAATAGAGTAATGGGTTTTTAGAGGAGATTTTTAGAAAGGAATAGGATAAATAGGACGAGGAGGAGGGGAGGACGTATACTTCCGAACTTTAAGGACAGGAACTTTAATTTTTGGGAGAGAGAGAGAGAGTGGGAAGATGAAGAGTCGCAGACAAAATTGGATTTTGATTGAGAAGAGAGGGTTTGGATAATAAGGGTCATATGAGAGGATTTTTCCAGGAAATCATTTGAGAGAGAGAGAGAGAGAGAGAGAGAGAGAGAGAGAGAGAGAGAGAGAGAGAGAGAGAGAGAGGAGTAATTTCCCTTGTTAATCATTCTTTTTCGAAAAAAAAGCGTAGATAGGAAATGAGAAATTTTTATGAAGCTGGAAATTTAGATTTTTTGAGAGCTAGCTTACAGGATGATGCTAGAATTTTTAAATTTTGGAAATTTGAATTATCGATTTCTGAAAATCTGTGTTTTGAGATTTCGGGATTCTGAAGATTCCGATGTCCTGAGATTCTGAGATTCTAAATTTTCAAAAAACTGAACATTTGTATTTTAGATTTTTGGGAAATTGGATTTTCGAGCCTCTACAGATTCTGAAGGTTTTAAGATTCTGAAGATTCTGAAGATTCTGAAGATTCTGAGATTCTGAAAATTCTGAGATTCTGAATATTCTGAGATTCTGAAGATTCTGGAATTTTCAGATGTTTTCAGGATTTTGGAACTTTTTTTGAAGCAATTAGTGGCATACTGAAATTCTGATATTTTCAAGTTTAAAATTTTCAGAAGTTTGAAAAATCACAAAACCTCTAATTTCAATATCAGAATTCTCAGATTCATTCAGAATTCTCAGATTCAGAATTTTAGAGTTTGAGAATCCGAGAAATTGAAAATCTCAGAACTTTAGAACCTCAGATCCTTAAATTTTCAGAAGCTCAGAATCTCAGAATTAAGGCTCCCATTTCGGTCTGTCGAAAATCGCCGACCGCCGACCGCCGACCGACCCCGCCGACCGTTTTCGTTCATTTGCGCATCAAATTACACATTTTTGCGTACGAGGCACTTTACTTTACGACAAACGAGGCATTTAATGAATAGTTTGTCGTAAAATATTAGGTTGGCAGGAAAGTAACTGTCCATTTTTTTATTAGTAAATGACACAAACACAAGAATAATCCAGAATTAGCAATATGCACTGTCGTGGTCCACAACATGTTGGCAATGTTCAGGTAACTTGTGGGTACCATCCCTCAAAAAGCGAGCTAGTCAAAGGCAAGTCAAAGTATCCCTCCAGTCCATTTTTTCAGGCATCAATTGTGTTAAAGTCCTAAAGCTCCAGATGACGCCGTATACTTTTGAATAACCAATGATCTGATAGAGCTGAATCAAGTCTTTAACGGGGGTAAAGGAGAACCGTCCAGCCAAAGCGGCTCAGGTACGGCGTGACTTTCCGTGAACATGAGATTTTTTCATTTTTTATCTGCAGTCAAGTCAGACCTGAGCAGCTTCAGCGGGACCGTTCTCTCTCACCTATTTATAGTCCCGACTGAGCTCTATCAGATTATTGGATATTCGGAGAGATACACCTCATCTAGAGAATACGAAAATTTGCACCATTTATGTGAAAAGCAGGAAAAAATGAATACTTTGATTCTCGGCTAGCTGGCTTTTGAAGGTATTGTATCCACAAGTTATCTAAACATTGCCAACACGTCGTGGACCACGACGGTGCATACTGCTAATCTTGGATTAATCCGGCTTTTGTACTATTCACAAATAAAACAAGGGACAGTTACTTTCCTGCAAACCTAATACAATGCAATGTACGCAAACACTCTCCGGCATGTTGTCGCGCAAATGCACGAAAATGGTCGGCGCGCCGACCGATCGGTCAGCTTGGTCGGCTGTCGGTCGGCTCGGTCGGTGGTCGGTCGGTCGGCTAAATTTCCCGACCGAATGGAATCCTTACTCAGAATCTAAGAATCTGAGGATCTAAGAATCTCGAAATCTCGGTATCTCAGAATATCGGAATCTCAGTATCTCAGAATCCTGAATTTCAGATTTTCAAAATAATTGAAAACTGAAAATTTACGTTCTGAAATTCGGAAGGTTCTATTTACAAATTCCAGGATTCTTCAATTTTTGAATTTTCCAAGATTCTGAGATTCTGAAATTCTAAGATCCTCTGAAACCTCAGTATCTCAGAATCCCGAGACAAAGTATGTCAGATTCTGTGAGGGATGGGATTCGTAAGAAAAGAAAAACATCTTCGAGAAATGACAGGTAGGAAAATGAGAAATGGGGAAAAACGAAAGAAAAGAGGTAAGGATTAAAGGCAAATGAATAGAACGAAAATGATCGTCTCATTTCGAAGAGGAGAGGAAAAAACGAGCGGGGAGACGGGCGCCAATGTCGGAGAAGAAGAAGAAGAAGACGTTGACGTCTTCAGGCCTCTCCTCCGGCAAAAATCGAAGGTAATGAGAAGGATAATAGGCGAATTAAGTGGTAACAGGTGTATGAAATAATGAAGAAAGGAAATTGAGAGAGAGAGAGAGAAAAAAAAGAATTAGCCAATGAATTCTGTGTGTCTGCTGGTCCGGATGACTCCAGGAGATTTCAGCCGGAATGATAAGGATCTAGAAGGCTGATAATCGAAAATTGTGGAAATTCAACTTCTAATCGAATTTCCAGCCAAAAACCTTCAACTTCCTCTACCTAAACACCTCGCTCAAACTTACCCAAATTTTCTGAAATTTCCAGAATACACTAATCAAAGCTAGAGCTTCATTTTTGGAGTTGACAACTTTTTTGTAGAACTAGATCCTGAGAAGATATGCCACGTGTAAGGGACCTTTGATTTTGGCGCCGCCCCCCTTCAAGGTCCCCCCCCCTCTCCAAAAAAAAATGAAGGGGATCCCTTCATGTCGGAGGTTCCATTCCACGTGGCATATCTCCTCGAGGCTTAATTTTATAAAAAAGTTGTCAACTACAAAAATGAAGCTCTAAGTGTGTTTCATCTAGTCTGAAATTTTCAGACAAATCAAAAACTATTTATTGATTTTTCAGATTAGGCTCTATAATCAAAATTTGGTGCTAAAGCCCACAAATTTCGGCTCAAACTTTGAATGTAATTAACTGCCTTCTATCTCGTTACCCGATTTTTAATTAACTATAATCATCTAATTAACAAGGTGCATTTTTTGAAAAACGCAAAAAATCCACGAGGAATTCAAAATCTCGTATAGCTCTCCAAGGGGCGTGGCCTTCCTCTTCTTCACTCATCAACTCCCTCCCCTTTCCTCCAAACAGAAGCAGCAGCCAATCGACTTCTTCATTTTCTCCTTCCTATTTTTCTTCATCGACGAAGAAACAAGCCCCGCCCATCTAATTGAAAGCGCCTCATAACCGCCTTCGCCAAGCCGCCAACGGGTCGCCGGCGGTCGAAGGGCGGCTGGCTGGATACTCGACCTTTTGGCAAGGTTTATTGGGAGAGGATTCTTTTCACATTCTAATCGTTTAATAGGCCCTTCTTCATCTTTTTATTTCTGGGTTCTTAAGAAAAAAAAAAGGAGAAGAGGATGAAGAAAAATTTCACGCTGTGCCATCATCATCATCACTAAATTTATATTAAATTTATTCAAATTGACAGGTCTTGTGTCACTAATTGGATTGGAGAAGAAATTTTTTTTTGAAATTTCGAGAAACTGGAAAACTGAGGACAAAGAAACTCTACCGGGGGGGGGGGACACTAATGGGCGCGACGACACGACTACAAGGAATCATGAGAATTTTGGAGGGGGAAAAGGTTAAAGTGTGGAAAGTGAGAAAAAAAAATAATAGAAGAACAGTTTCCGGAGAAAATTGGTAGAAGAAGAAATTAGAGGGAAAATGGTTATGGGTTCTAGATACCAAGTTCCCTAGATTTCTATATTCTTAGACTAGAGTTCTAGAGGCTCTAAGATTCCAAGGTTTTTGATTTTGGAATTTCTAGATTCCTAGATTCTCAAAACCCGGATCTAGATCTTCTCCACGTTCTGAAAATTCTCAGTTCTCAAATTCTCGGATTCCAGAGCTTCAGCTTAATATCGAATGGTCCAACTTGAGGTATCATCTCTTTCTCCCTCTCTCTCTCTCTCTCTCTCTCTCTCTCATTTCCTCTCGAAACTTGGCAATATTACCTTGAAGAAGGTGAGAATGATCATCAAAGTTGCGGCCGCCGATGAGGCGCCCAATTCCTGAGCAAACATTACTCATTACACCATTAAATCATGAATTTATAGTATGTATTGGCGGCCATGGCGGGGAAAATGCAAATCGGGTCTTCGGTATTTGTGTTTGTGTATACTCATACATACAAACACAGGAAGAACATTAAGAGAATGGAATTTGGGATACAGAAGGGACCTTATTTATCTCGATCCATGGGACAGATATCAAAAAGTGGTCAACTGATAAAATGTTTTTCATATTATGATAAACATTTTATTAGTTCGCTACTTTTTGATACCTGTCCCAGGAACCAAGATAGAACGTACTAAAGTTCAGGAGTCCTTCTACGCTGGGATAGACGGGTCCTTCAACTTTGACCTAGATTATCTCAATTCCTGGGACAGATATCAAAAAGTGATTAACTGATAAAACATTTATCATATTATCACCAATATTTTATTAGTTAACAATTTATTCATATCTGTCCCAGGAATCGAGATAAATTGGGTTAAAATTGACGGCTTCTAAAACAATAAAACAGTTTGGAGATCCAGAAAAAATAATAGAAAATGGAAAATAAAGACTTAAAATTAAGGATCCTCACCGTCTGAACCTTCTGCAAATGCTTATCCGTTCTTGTATGCAACTGGAAATTAGCCTTCAACGTCGTATTATATGGACACAGATGGCATCTGAAGTTCCCATTCAGAAGAGTGACGTCGCCTTGGAAAGTTCTGGATCTGTCTTTCTCGACGTGCTCCATCATCTCGGCGATGGATTCTGTGGCGAAGATTCCGCAGATGAGGCAGACAAGAGATAAGTCGGATTCTTCAATTGGGCTGCTACGACTCACTGGAGCACCAGCACCACAAGCGAAATTCGCGGCGAATTCTGGAATTTTTTAAAACATTTAACCTGACAAGTGAGAATGCTTAAAATTTTTTATCGATCTGTATAATTTTTTTTGAGATTGACACATTTAGAGCTGAGATTCTTTGAATTTTCGAGCTATGCGGTAGCTTTATTTTCAAAACCCCATATCTGAGCTCAGAATGCTCCGTTTTCCACGAAACTTGTACTTATCGATAAGGAATTTTTGAGACAATCTTTGTATGGCTTAGCTACACATCTAAGAAGTTGTGAGCTCATCTAGAAGATGTTTAACTCACCTATACTATTGGGCAACTCTTGCATCGCGTGCAAGTGCTTATCACTTTGCATATGAATGCTCAGATTGCCTTTTGTGGTGGTACTGTAGCGGCACACATCACATCGGTACGGTTTGTAGCCGCAGGAGTAGGTCTCGCCACGTGCCAGCTTTGGGTGGGGTCGATTTTCGACACAGAAGATGCATTTGACCTGGAAGATTGGAATTTTTGAGTTTCAGGTTAAGTTAGGCGGTTGTGGTTACAAGCTATATTATATTTCAGGTTCAGCTTCAGTACCAGTCAAAAAAGGGCCTCTAACCCTTAGGATCATGGGATCCTAAATTAAGAATGGCCGTCCGTTTATTGTCCCAAGGTACAGTACCGGTTAACAAGATAAATATACAAAAACGTATTTTTAAGTTGATTTATTGATCGGTGCTTTAGCTATGCGGACCTTATACTTCAAATGAGCATATCTCGATTATGCTTAAAACGAATTTCATGAAATTTAGATTTTTGAATTCGGCTACTTTAGAGCTTTCAAATGAGTATGCACTAGACATGTCTTACTTACCGGTACTGTACGAACGGGACTAAAAAAAAACCAACAACTCCAAAAAAAAAACTCACATCCACATCATTATGCTTCTCCTTCATATGAATCTCCAGCGTCTCATGATACTTATAATGCCAATTACATTTCGGACATTTCAGCGTTTTCGACGAATTTCGAAGTGTCGAAAACGGCGAAATATCGGCGAATCCCAAATTTTGTGGATCAAATTGAAAATTCGCCAAACTTCCCGGGTCCTCGAATGCGGTTGCACCGCCTAGAAGTCGCTCCAGATGACATTTCGCTGTGTCGCTGGCTGAAATTTTCTGTTAATTTAAAGAAAATTTTTGGAGAATGTGGCCCCGAAAATTCCTAATCGATTGGTACAAAAATTGTAGAAAACGAAGCATTTTAAGCTGAAATATAGATATTTGACCGCGTGCTCAACAATTTAAAGTTCCATATTTCAACTTAAAATGGTCAGATCTCTATGAAAAATATAAAGGTCGATAGGAACTTTTTCAAAAGATCAATTTTCGTAAAAATCCAAAAATTTCACCTAAATCCAATCCAAAAATTGGGCCACTGGCGTCGGTGAGCATTCGCATGATATCCGCGGAGTCTGGGAGTACTGGTGAGGTGGTGTCTGGAAAAAACTGGATTTTTAGAATTTGCGAAATTTCGAAATTTGTAAAAATCGCATCGTTTCAGGAAGCTAAAATATCAGGATTTTCGAAAATTTTCGAATTTCCTACCCCGACTATTGGCTTCTCCAGAACTTCCATTTTGTTGATTTGACGACGACGTTGTCGGCTTCGAGGTGTCTTCCATTGTCAACAGTGCCACGTCCATAGTAACATTTGCCGTGTAGCTGTTCACCGGCGATGGGGCGTGGGAGGGCACTCTGTAATTCAAAAAATAGGAAAATTTCAGGTCAAAATTGTTAAGAAATGCAAAACAATGCGAAAAATTCAAAAATAAGGCCTAGTTTTAAAAAGTTCAAAAGATTATATTTTGCTTGTTTATCGACCAAATTTCATGAAACTTAGATTTTTGAATTTTACTTGTTTCCAGCTTCAAAAGGAGTATAAACAAGCCATAGTTTGAAGCTCAGCTACGCTGTCACAAGAGATAGTATGGGTGGCGCCGCATCGCTGAGCTACGCCATCGTTGACTGTAGCTTAGTGATCTAACTATGTTATATTTATACTCATTTGAAGGCTAGAAAGATGTTCAATTTAAAAATCAAAGTTTTATAAAATTTGGTCAAGAACTAATTGAGATATGGTCATTTAAAAATGACTCTAGGAGTCAAAAATGTCCAGCCTACCCGAAAACCTTTGCTACCCAAAAACTTTGCTTAAACTCATCCAAATTTTTTGAAATTTTCAGACTATACCAAACAAAACTAGAGCTTCATTTTTGTAATTGACAACTTTTTTTGTAAAATTAGGCCCTGAAGAGATATGTGCCATGTGGAAGTGACCGACTGTTTTGGCGGTACCTTTCTACCCTTTAAAGAGGGGGGGGGGGCAGACAATGGGCTGTACCTTTATGCCGCAAGTAAGAAGGGCCTCTTCCACGTGGCATATCTCCTTAGGCTCAAAGTTTCCAAGAAAGTTGTAAACTACAAAATTAAAGCTCTAGTTTTGTTTGGTACACTCTATAAGTTTCAAAAAATTATGTTAAACATTAATCGAGATATGGTTATTTGAAATATGGCGACCGCAAAGCTCAGCGGTGCGACTCCTAAAAGGCTTGTTCAGGGTAAAACTATGGGAAAACCATGGAAAAAAATAGTTTGGGAGATGCACACAATGTTGAAAAATTGAAAAATAAAAGCCAGAGAAAAACTAATGAGTCGCAAATGAGAAAATCTCTTTGCCGCTCCTCCGATTTTTCGTTCCTTCACACCACATGTGCTTGCAATTAATTAAATTCGGTGTGGTGCGCTCCAATGGACCCCAGAAAAATAGAGAAAAATTTTCGGAAAGTTTTTGGCACCAGAGGTGGACCTTATGTTAGAAATTGACACCTGGTTACAACAACACATACAATTACATTTGTTTTCCTGGGATTACGGTAGCTCATAAGCCATATGGTGTACATTATCATCATCACAACTTGAGACAATGTTGTGTTCCGAGGCCCGGGGCATATGTTAGGTACTCAAAGTCAAAAAAGAGACTCTAATAGTGTCATTTTATTGGATATTCACACCTGCTGAAGAGGAGATTCTTAGATTCATAAAAGAAAATTCTAGAAGATTTTCATTGAAGTGTCGGGGGCGGAAATGGGATGAAAGGAAAAATGGGGTGGTGTAAAAATAACAAAATGGGTTTTTTGAGTTTCGAATTTCGAGAGGAAGGGCAAAAGGTAAATTTGGGAGATCAGGAATTTAGGGAATCGGATTTTTAGGGGTTTTTAAATTTAGGGATCCGGAAGTTTGAGATTTTATGAATTTTGAGGATCTTGGAATCTTGGATTTTTTTTTGGAAAATTGGGGTTAAGGGAGTTCGGATTTTTGAAGTTTTTGAGTTTTGGAGTTCCAGTTTAGGGATTTCAGGAAATTAGGAATTTCGATTTTTGGGATTTTTGGGATTTAGAGATCTAGAATTTTTGGGATATTAAAAGTTTAGGAACCTATGACGAATTTCTGAATTTCTGAATTTCTGAATTTCTGAATTACTGAATTTCAGGATTTCTGAATTTCTGAATTTCTGAATTTCTGAATTTCTGAATTTCTGAATTTCTGAATTTCTGAATTTCTGAATTTCTGAATTTCTGAATTTCTGAATTTCTGAATTTCTGAATTTCCGAATTTCTGAATTTCTGAATTTCCGAATTTCTGAATTTCCGAATTTCCGAATTTCTGAATTTCTGAATTTCTGAATTTCTGAATTTCTGAATTCTAAAATTCTCAATAGAAACTAAACTACAAAACTTTTACAAATAAAAACGCAATGAAAATTTTCCCCACTCCCTCTAAGCTCCGCCCCCTCTTCTCCCCATCCCTCGATGCTCGTTATAACTGGCTGATTAAGCATTCGAGAGGAGCACCGAAAAGTGGGCGTGGTCCCAAAATGTACAACGTGTTGAAAATCTGATTATTCGCCCCTTCTTCTTCTTTTAACAAAAAGTTTTGCTCGCGAGAAAGAGAGAAAAGCGGAAGGCGTTAGGCAAATAAGGAGCACAAGAAGAGGTAACGCGTTTAAATTTGTCGCGCGGAGCAAAATGATTATGACTACTGTAGAAGAAGTTGTGTGGGGCCTCACCCAATTCAATTCAATTTGTCCATTTGTGTCCGTTTTAGTTTTGATGATGAGAAATTTAAAGGAGAGCATTGGTTAACTAGGAAAAGTTTTAAAAATTCGAAAACTATTGGACCATAATTTAAAGCCGTTTTATCATGTCTTCTGGGATAGGTATCAAAAAGTTGTCAGCTAATAAAATGTTAAGCATGATATCAGAAATATTTTATTTTTTGACCATTTTTTGATATCTGTTTCAGCAATCGAGATAATTCATGTCAAAACTGAGAGAGGTCAAACATCCCAACCTCAAAAACAGGGACGCTAACTATGCCCCAATTTATCTCAATTCCGCTATGAGATATCAAAAAGTTGTCCACTGATAAAATCTTACTGATATTATGATCAACAACTTATCAGTTGATCACTTTTTGAAATCTGTCCCAGGAACCGAGATAAATTGGGTCAAGCTGGCGTAGAGGATGCGGTGGTCGGGTCGAATCCCGGCGCATAGCGCGGCACATAGCTCGGCTCATTTTGGCATTTTCGTTTATGTCAAAAAGCAAAATATGAAACTTAAAAAGATCTTCAAAATAGTACGGAAACGATGTATACCTGGAAAAAGCCAGTTTTGGAATCACAAACCGGTGCAACCTAGAGCTATTTTTTGACCCTTAGATTTTGGGGCCTCTGGTCCAAAACTCGGGCATACGATATAGTTGAATGTTATATTATTTTATAGATCTCTTCAAGCTCTACTTTTTACATTTAGTTTCAAACCAAAGTTCTAATTTTGAGCCGAGTTATGAGGCACGGCGCAAAGTAATCTAGGCACTCGGGCTCAAGGAGAGGGGGGGGGGGGCAGTTAAGGTTTAATGGCTGAAAAAACCCGCTAGGACCTTAAAGAAACCCCAAAAAACAAAATAACTAGAAAATCTAGAAAACGAAGGGGTCCCTGTCCCCCATCTCAAATAATTAATCTGTGGGGTGTCTCTGCGATTGAATGGGTCATAAAATTGTTGGGGTGAGGGATACTCTTTACCAAAAGGGAGAAGAAGACTTGTTTTGTTTGTAATTAGCTAATTCACAAAATGAATGAGACGACGAGCCGTGTAGCTCAGCTATTTCGATGAGGAAGGGAAAATCCGTGTTTTTTTTGTTTCTGGAAATTTCTTCAATTGGGAAGAACACGCCTGGTGAAATCTTATAGCAAAGTCTGTAAATCTCAAATTAACAAACATTGGATTGGAACCAATTGTGCACCCTCTTAGCTCATATGAAACCTTTTTGACCGCCATTCAGCCGCATTTTATCCGTTTCCGTCGAAACGAATCGATTTTTGACTGGAAGGGCTCAAATTTTGAGCTTTTGCGAAATTTGACACTATTTGAATTTTTTGAATCTTGAAATTCCCAGATTCTTCTTGAAAAACTAAGTTTCTCTAGGCCAAATAACTTCAATGAGTTAACCTTAAATGAGCGAAAAAGGCTTCGAAAGGCCGTTGAACCGTTTTTTATCCGTTTTTAGCCAATTTTTGACTAGCAGGGCTGAAATTTCGCAAATTTATTGAATTTGAGACTTTTGGCTCTTGAAATTCCAAGATTCTTCAAAAAACATACACATTTATCTAGACCACACACCTGAAATAACCCAAAAAGGCTTCAAAAGTCCAATGTCCCGCTTTTCGTCCGTTCTTTACCAATTTTTGACTTCCAGGGTTTGAATTTTGGGTGTTTTTCATTCAAGTTAGGATTCTAAGATTCTTCCAGAAAAGCACTACATTTTTCTAGGCCAAACCGAACGGCAACAACTATAGTGTCTACAAAAATAAATACCAAAATTAGCCGCTATCAAAATATATGAAATTAGTCAAAATTTTGGGACTATATACAAAGATGCTCCATCCATTGTTATTGTTATTATTACTAAACGACTTGGCGCTACACGGCTAATTGGTCCCCCCCCCCCTTCTCTTCGAACACCTCGGAGGGGTCCTAATTGAATTAGTCCCTCCCCCGTTTTCGCGCATTTTACCCCTCCAATTCCTCGCCCCGATTTACTTGATTATGAGTCAATGAATCGCTAATTTCCAATAGAACCTCGCCTAGCCCAAAACTAAATGGGCCAGCTAACGATGGGTCAGGAAGTGTCGGGAAGGGGAAAGAAGTTGGTTGGGAGGGGGACCAATCAAAATGAGAATGGGGGAAAATTTTGGTCGAGGGGCGACAGGAAGTAAGGTAGATGGGAATAATGAGTTAGGTAGGAGAAAATTGGTATGTGAATGGGTTTTTAAAGGGGTTGGAGTGGAACAAGTATAGAGGGACCGTTTGAATTATGGAGCTCAGATATCAGTCACCGCGTGGATTATGTTTTCATCGAAAGACATATGTTTTGAGCCGAAATTTCAATTTTTGGGGTAAAATATGAAATAGGCCGATGGTCTCCAAAACAAGACAAATTTTCTCATATTTCAGAAATACTCGAAAACCGAAACTCGCAAAATTGAAATAATTCCCTTTTTTGGAAGCTCTAAATTTTCTTAATAGAGGCCAGGCACCAAAAAAAAAAGTGTTCCTGATATTTTGCATAGAGAACCCCCAT